CAAATTGCCTACCCTCTAACTAATTTATTAAGAAAGGACGTCAAATGGGAATGGACAGAGTCACAGATAAAAGCATTTGAGACCCTAAAATCTAAATTAGTAAGTAGACCAGTATTAGCCATTTACGACCATACTGCTGACTTGGAACTACACACAGATGCTAGTAAATATGGTATTGGCGGAATTCTTTTGCAAAAACAACACGAAGAAAAATATTTTAGACCGGTTGCTTATTACAGCCGCCAGACCTCCCCAGAAGAAAAGCATTTTCATTCATATGAGTTGGAAACACTGGCTGTTGTCTGCTCCCTGAAAAAGTTTCGAGTATACTTATTAGGCAAGGAATTTAAAATAGTTACCGATTGTAGCGCCCTGCGGTCTACCTTTTCAAAACGAGATCTCATTCCTCGAATAGCCCGTTGGTGGTTAACACTGCAAGAATTCGACTGTTCTATTGAATACAAACCAGGCACAAAAATGCAGCACGTAGATGCTTTATCACGTAATCCAATTTCTAATGATGAATTGCAGTGTCAACTTTACCCTACTGTTATGACTATTAATAATGAAGATTGGCTACTAACACTCCAACTTGGAGATTCTGAATTATCCAGAACTCGCGATATTTTACTCAGTAATTCAGATCCAAAAGAACTCCAATATATTAAAGATAATTATATAATTAAGGATAACAAGTTGTTTAGATGTATCAATAGTAATAGAGATGACGTTCGTTGGGTAGTACCAAAGGGTGCAAGGTGGCAGGTATGCAAAATGAATCACGACGACATTGGTCACTTTGGAAGTGAAAAAACGCTAGATAAAATAAAAAAACATTATTGGTTCCCTAAGATGTCTCGTTTTGTAACAAAATATGTAGCAGCTTGTATTGACTGTGCATACGCTAAACAAAACAAAAACAGTCAAGAAGGTTTATTAAACCCCATACCAAAAGTTCAGATTCCCTTTCATACATTGCATGCCGATCATCTTGGACCCTTTGTCAAGTCCACAAGGGGAAATTCATATTTACTGGTTGTAGTTGACGCTTTCACTAAATTTGTATTTATCAAACCCGTAAGAAACACCAAAACACTAAACGTAATTAAAGTATTAGACGACATCTTTTACACGTTTAGAATACCTGTACGCTTGATAACTGACCGTGGGAGTTGTTTTACTTCCAACTCCTTCAGGAGATATTGTTTAGACAAGGGAGTTAAGCACATTCTGAATGCAGTTGCTAGTCCAAAATCAAATGGTCAAGTGGAGAGATATAATCGCACAATTTTAAATTCCTTAAAGGCCCAAAATTTAAATAATAATGATAAAGAATGGGACTCTCAGGTAGGTAAAATTCAATGGGGTATGAATAATACCAGGCATAAAACCACAGGGAGGATGCCTGCAGAAGTAATGTTCGGTACCGATATTATAGGTAATATGAACCCTTCTTTAGATGAAATATCGCAAGAGACAAGGGAGCGTATCGACTTAAATACTATTAGGAAAAATGTCAAAGATAAAATTGATATCGAACAAATAAAACAAAAAGCGTACTATGATAAAAACAGGCGGGCTGCTCAAACGTACAAAGAGGGAGATCTTGTCAAAATAACACAAACATCATTTACTAATGATGGTAAAAGCAAAAAGTTGTTGCCATCATATGTAGGTCCTTTCAGAATACTAAAGGTGTTAGGCAATGACCGTTACAAAATTAAATCGATACCAGGGTTCAGTAATATGAAACACAAGCGCGGATCCACGGTAGCTGCAGATCGAATTAAGCCTTGGGTTCATGTTGATGCCCTGCAAGTAAATGATGATTATGATTCGGATGATGATGATGATATCAAGGCATAGAATGTTTATTTGAAATTTATAAAATAGTTAAGTAATTGTTGTTAATAATAAGTCAAGATGTGTCAATGGATTAATGTTATTTAACATTTTGTTACTTCTACAGTATATGTGATGATTTTTAATTCTTTTTAATGAAAAGAGTGATGATTTGGAACTTTACTTGAATAACTGGTATCATGTAGAAAATCAACTTTTAAGTTCTATTTTTTATTTTTGTTCTTTAGTATTATGAACATGAACAAATTGTGAGATATATTCGTTCACCAATGATTACAATTAAATATTATTACTGTGAGAACATGATTGTTCAACAAACAAAAGAAAGTGTATTAGTGTGAGAACAGGTTTGCTCACCAAAACAAAAGTGTATAATTTTGAGAACAGATTTGCTCACTAGTACTAGAAAATAAGATAATGTGATTGTGAGAACAGATTTGCTCACTAGTGCAAGAAAATAAGATAATATGATTGTGAGAACAGGTTTGCTCACTCATTGAGAATTGAAATCAAATTAACTCTATTAATAAATTGTGTAAAATTAAGTCAAATATTTGCTCCTAAGGATTAAATGTAGTGGTAATGTTAAAGGATATCCCAGCCAGCCGAGTGTTAGGTTATCACATGATGCGTGTATAGGGACATACACGTTTTCAGGATGGACGAGTGTTAGGTTCAAAGACTTGTCGTGTTTCTAACTCCTTGTTTTAAAAGAATACATATTTATAAGTTTGTACTTTTTGTATCTGTGACTCTATGGTCATACGATTTGGCTGTATGGATTGCCTCCTTTACCTTTTTAAAAGAAAATGAAGTTTTCCCAATGCGTCAAATGGGAGGTAGACAGTATAAAAGGAGGTCTTTTGGCTGGCTCGGACATTCTTTGACGGAGTGTTGAACTGTACAGACGTGCACACGTTGTTGGAATAAAACAATACTTCAAAGTACCCGAAGCGTTTTACTTGCGACCATATAAGTGTTATTATAATAGTAATAGTACAATTTCATATAATTAGTAAATATTTTATTCAATAAATAGCAATTTTTTACTCTAAATTAAATTATTTTTAAATATGTAATATATATATATATGGGTTGAAAATGATATTAATATGAGGTAATTATGTTAGAAAATACTTTACAATTTCATCACTTACTATTAGACATGTTTTCTAGCGATAAAATGGCTCAATGTCAATTTTTCCATTAAGGGGTTGTTTACACCCCTTAAAAATAATAGGCGGAGTTCAGATCATTTTCACTTTTGAAGTTAAGGGTAAGATGAGCCCAATTCCAAAATTTCATGCAAATCGGTTCACAGTAAAAAAATTCGGAGGTAAGGCCGTATTTTTCGCTTCAATGACTGCACTAAAACGTCATTGTCGTATTACTGCGGTGTCTTTCGTCGGACTAAAATCTTACCTACATCTTGTAGAAAAATTCCCGTTTATTGGTTTTGTTGACTAAATTAATGCTGGAAGCCGGATTTGTGAAAGCAGAAACGACAAAACTCTGACTTAGTAAGTACATTCATAACCTTAAAAACTGTATTTTTCAACTTTTAATATTATTCAATGAGTACTCACATTAAAGTGATCTTTGCTAAAAGAAAAGACTTAGACGGTAAAATTACAGGATTTAGTAAGTTTTAAATATGACTGTGTTCATGTGTACGTATGTGTATTTCGCTATGCAATTTAAACCACAACTTTTCTGGAGTCTTGAACGATGTGTTTCTACATTCTCGTATAATACAATCATGATAATTATTATATTTATCATGAAATCTATTAGAAATCATGGTTTTATATTATAACTTCAGAATAAGGTTTTTTCCTACATGCTTCCGAATGTTTGTTTACGGTTTTGTTGACGTCATAGCATAGGTAATCTATAGACTAAAATGGTCGACAGCGCTTTTGTACGTCCATGAAAAAGCTTTTAAGTTTTGTAACTTTCTAGGTCAAAATACAATACATTTTTTTTCGGTCTAATAATAGAACAATTGTTAACCATTTCAAAAAATATTTCCAAAAAGTGTCAAGTAGCCTATTTAATTGGGAGATGGACCATGACACACCATGCGGCCCCAGTGCGGATTGGAAGGTGCTAACGACTGCAGATGCAGCCGGAACCAACGTTTAACGTGCCTTCGAAAGCACGGAGGAGCTCGGGATAGTAAATTTTCCACTCCACTCCGAAAGTTGCTTAACTTCAACGATCGTAGTCGAACGCGCTAACCACTTGCGCCATCGAGCTCTTCAATGTTTAATTGAGTCAGGCAATTAATATTTTCATAGTTTGAGCTTTCTTTGCGGCCATATCATCATTAGCCTATTTGCTGGGGCACCAACGGACCTTACTTATGGATGGAAAAAGACAATAGACCCACCGCATGTGGCTAGGACCATCAGTATACCTTCTAAAGCACTTATGAACTCGATATAATTTTTGGTCCATCGCGAAAAATTGCTTAATGGCGCAATTACATTTGTTCGTTAACCCGTACTTGGGTGCACGAAAGACATAACACGAATTCGGACACCCGTTGCAATATTTACATTGTTTTAATCGAACGTTAGCTGGAAGACAGCGGCGAGTAACCAAAACGAAAACTACCCGAAAACAAGCGTACTAGAGTATGTTCATTTAAACTTAGTCGTTTGTCCGAATTCCATAGATAATAATTCGTATTCAGGCAAACGACCAAGTGTAATTGTGTTATAATGGAAGTTAATCACACAACGAACACGCTAAAGCTAGCTAATATTACAAATTTAAAGTTTGAGATGAACACTGCCGCAAGTATTAGCGCGTTCGGGTGCCATATTTGAAGTTAAGCAAATTTTGTAGTATTCGGTCATTGGATAGGGGACCAAAAATTAACTATCTTGAGTTCCCCTAGCTAGCACCAACAAATCCGCACTGGGCCCGCGTGGTGGGTCATAACCCATTCATTCTCCCTATTTCATCCACAGGGCAGGTCTGTGCCCCTGCAGTGAGAATATTAATAGGCTGATGATGATGAGATGAACACTGTCTGTGTTTTTTCTTAACTTTATCGGGCAGGACTATGCCTGTCGGGTCTGCTTGAATTTAAACAAGGATAAATAAAAACCCTTGATTATTGCGTTAAGGTGGAGAGATTCCGCTGCCATAACGGTCAGTGGTTATCCGTGGTTGAGACGCTGGGAGCAGAGACCGCAGGTGGGGGTGGGGATGGGGGCGACGACCTGCCGCCCTACCTGTCCGCCGAGTACCTCACCACTCACCGCCTCACCACTTCCGGTAAGTATCTACTTATCGCTCAAATTACGGCGACCACCTGCCGCCCTACCTGTCCGCCGAGTACCTCACCACTCACCGCCTCACCACCTCCGGTAAGTATCCACTTATCGCTCAAATTACGGTGACCACCTGCCGCCCTACCTGTCCGCCGAGTACCTCACCACTCACCGCCTCACCACCTCCGGTAAGTATCCACTTATCGCTCAAATTACGGCGACCACCTGCCGTCCTACCTGTCCGCCGAGTACCTCACCACTCACCGCCTCACCACCTCCGGTAAGTATCCACTTATCGCTCAAATTACGGTGACCACCTGCCGCCCTACCTGTCCGCCGAGTACCTCACCACTCACCGCCTCACCACCTCCGGTAAGTATCCACTTATCGCTCAAATTACGGCGACCACCTGCCGTCCTACCTGTCCGCCGAGTACCTCACCACTCACCGCCTCACCACCTCCGGTAAGTATTCACTTATCGCTCAAGTTACGGCGACCACCTGCCGTCCTACCTGTCCGCCGAGTACCTCACCACCTCCGGTAAGTATCCACTTATCGCTCAAGTTACGGTGACCACCTGCCGTCCTACCTGTCCGCCGAGTACCTCACCACTCACCGCCTCACCACCTCCGGTAAGTATCCACTTATCGCTCAAGTTACGGTGACCACCTGCCGTCCTACCTGTCCGCCGAGTACCTCACCACTCACCGCCTCACCGCCTCCGGTAAGTATCCATTTATCGCTCAAGTTACGGTGACCACCTGCCGTCCTACCTGTCCGCCGAGTACCTCACCACTCACCGCCTCACCACACCGGTAAGTATCCACTTATCGCTCAAGTTACGGTGACCACCTGCCGTCCTACCTGTCCGCCGAGTACCTCACCACTCACCGCCTCACCACCTCCGGTAAGTGTCCACTTATCGCTCAAGATATGGTGACCACCTGCCGTCCTACCTGTCCGTCGAGTACCTCACCATTCACTGCCTTACCACCTCCGCTAACCATCCACTCATAGCTCAATTTACGGTGATCACCTGCCGCCCTATCTGCCGCCGAGTACCTCACCACTCACTGCCTTACCACCTCCGGTAACCATCCACTCATCGCTCACTTTATGGCGCCCACCTGCTGCCCTACCTGTCAGCGGAGTACCTTGCCACTCACCGCCTCGCCACCTCCGGTAACCTAACTAAAGACCTATTATTTTTATCATTGATAATAAAAAATATCCTAAAAAATCCACAGAGATCATTGTCCGAGAACCACCTATTCCAGAAGCTCCATGTTTATGCTTATATAGTCATTTTTTGTATGAAAATTAATAGATACGATACATTAAACAAACAAAACGGGCTTTAGTTTGCTCAAAATATCCTACTAATATCATAAATGTGAAAGTTTGTGTTGTTTGTTTATTTATATTTATGTTTGTTACTCAATCACGGGATATCTACTGAATGGATTTGGTACGGTATAATTATAGTTTATGACCTGGATTAAGACAAAAGATACTTTTAATTTCGGAAATATAAAGTAAGATTCTAAAAAAACTTAAGTTAACGCGAATGAAGTTGAGGGCGGCCGCTAGTTTTAAATAAATTAGTTATATATTTTTAAAATGTCCTTAAAGTTTTACCGTCATCATGAAATCTTAAGAGGTAATTTTTTACAAAATGCGTGCTTTTTCAGAAAAAACCTGCCAATCAATGTTTTAGCCGGAAAGGTAAGACAGACTATTTGAACCCTTCCGACTAATAAATACGTGTCGGCTGATTTTTTCCCACCCCTTTGGCCTAATTAGAAGCCGGTACTATAAAATGACAGCATAAATAAGGAATAACATCATTCTAGTCGGGTTTTAAAAGGATTTCAGTGGGGAGCCCGAGGTATTAACTCATAATTTAAATTTTTCTCTCCAATGGTGGTGTTCTAAATTTAAAACTCGCAAATTTTATTTTGCAATTATTAGCGTTTAATAGTATCACATACACACGGAATCTCCAATTGTGTTTTATTCAAGAACTTTACCATGCATCTTGTCAAAGATGCCCAATATAATTGCATATATCGTTTCTTTATATTTCAGATTCTCAGACAACACTCAATGATGATTCCGATAGTTTTTCTGGTGATGATATAAATAGAACAAATAACAGGTAAGCATAATGCGACTAATGCTGGTATCAACAAACAAATAATAAATACCTTAAGAATGATCTTGTTGCTTGTTTCATAAGCCATACTTAAAAAAATGATGACACGGCTACCGTGTCATCCGCCACACGTTAAAAAAAATATTAATGCAAATTATAAAGGTTATCAACCCCTGTAATTTTTGAATTCACACAATATCCAGAAACGAATACAACAGAATTGATCTACGCAGAAAATCATGATAGTTTGTTCCCGGAAGTCCCTTCTGAAATTTATTTTGAGGGAGTTACAATAGATTCAAAACCAGAGAGAGCTAAGTGCAAATCCGACTCCCGCACACCCTTTGTGCGGGAGTCGGATTGCGTACCATTAGCTATATAATATTAGGCACTTTATTATTATATCGAACAAAAAACATCAAACATTCACTTATTTTATTGTATGGAAGCCCCTTAAGTTTTTATTTTTAGTTAAATTATTTATATTTAAAGTAATTTAAGTATATACAAATAAGTATTCTGTGAAAATTACAAGCGTCTACCTACCTGTTCCGTTATTATTATAAAGCAAAAAACAATAAAAAAATCACGTTGTATGAGAGCCCCCTTAAAGAACATTGTTCTGCGTCCATACATAGTTAGCCTAAGAACCAAATGACTGTAAAAACAAAGATTATTGACGGACACTTCTGAGAACTTAAATTATTAGGAAAACTATTTTTTTTTTGAGGTTATGTTTAATATTCAATGAAACATAGGTCAACCCATGAACTTAGTATGAAGTAAATAATATTACAAACTAATTCATTTTATTCGGTGCTATTTTAAAGAATAACTATTAGGAAAAACTTGGTTAGGTAGAAAAATAAAAACTGTAGTTTTGCTTCTTGTTATTTATTGACTATTTTTCACATAATTGTATCATATTGTATATATATTGTATGTCAAATACATACAATATATATACATATCATATTGTATATTGTATGTCAAATACATACAATATATATACAATATGATACAATGTATTGTGTAAATATGCAGCGTGAATTTGTATCAGGTGCTCTTGAATAATTTGACAGTATGATCCTCTCAGGATGTTGTGGCACAGGTTCACTATTACTTGGTAATAAGGTCTCTACTCTTTGGTAACATCGATGGCATATTAGATAGCCGAAATAGTAATAGTTAAATTAAAGGAAAAACAATCGCAAATAAACACACAACAGGTAATCCGAAACGAGAATTTTCCGTATTTAAAAAGTACTCTGACGAGAATGCACGAATGCCACAGATTACTACGAATGCAAACTGCCTGCACCACAACCACAGAGTATCGAGTTTATGCCGGCCCTTCACTTGACAACAGTTTGTCCTTGTCATGTTTAATAAAGAATGAAAAGGACAGACTGATGTCATGTTTTTAAATAGCAAATACGAATAGCCAAGTGAAGTACCGGCATTAGGAAGAAAAAGTGTTTTGTTTGCAGTGCTGTCATTGATTATACACATAAAATGGTATTTATTGTCTCAGATTATTTATTAACTTTTTAATTTAGCTTACTTAACTGGAAGTGTCCGTCACAATATAAATACTGATAATTATCGCAAAAAATATACTAAGAATTATCATAAATGCCAAATTGGTGTTGGTTCTTAGGCCAATTTTAACATTGTCCTTTTTATTTTTTCTATTTGTAGTATTTGTTGTTATAGCGGCAACAGAAGTAATATCATCTGTGAAATTTTCAACTGTGTAGCTATCATGGTTCATGAGTTACTACAGCCTGACGACAGACAGACGGACTGTAGAATCATAGTAAATAGGGACCCGTTTTTACCCTTTGGGTATGGAACCCTAAAAATTAAAAGCGTATTGTGTAATACGCCATATGTTAAAAAAATATGACGCACCTGTCGTGCCATCCGCAACGAATCGGCTAATAAAATAGAATCTTACTTAGCATGAATCTGAAATGAATAAGAAAAAGCGAGCCTTGCAGTAGACACATATATATGAGCTGTAACAGTTGACATCTTACTTTAGAAAAAGAATATAAAACCTAGGTACTACTTCAAAAGAAATAAGCAACTTTAAAATTATACTGGGGTCGATTCTGATAACTTAATTTAACATCAGTCTCTCATTTTCATTCTGTATGCAGAATGACAAGGATACACTGTAGTCAAAGGACATTGCTCGTTCCCCATACATTGAATGCCCTAGAACGCCCAGCAATGAGAAAATGCTAGTTGTGTTCGGAATCACTCATAAACTCTAAATAAGCATTTGTTGAGATACGGACAACTTGAGGAACCGTGGCCTACTACCGAATGTATTAGATTTTGAGGTTATAATTATTATACTTAATCGTAAAAGATGCACACTTTATATATTCTGAATAGATTTAGTGTTTACCTCTATGTAAGCACTTAAATAATATGCATTAAATAAACATAAAATGCAATTAATAATAAAAATAATAAATGCTTATATTCATATTGATTTATGAGTGTTGTCAGTTGGCACCTATGATACCTATACCTACCTGTAGTAGGTAATAATACATTTCTTTTCAAATGAAATGTTCAGTCTTTCCATTTACCTGTTTCTATACTTTACTATCGGTAATTAGGTATGTACCTGGTTATCATTATGATTTTCATAAAAATAAACAGATATTACATGGAATGGGAGTATAAACTATCTTTAGATAATTTCAGAAATAATCTTTTTATAAATATAATATAAATACTAGTAATAAGTATTATTAACTAAGGTACCTAGTTCTAATTTTATGTTGATAAATACCTATGGTCGCCTATATTGCATTACTAAGGTAAACAATCTTGGTACAACTTTTTAACAGAATCACCCATTTAATAATAAAATATTAACGAAGCCAATAAACTATTAAAATAAATCGTTATTATAGACTGAAACCTATTGAATCCAGTTATCAGTTGATTTTTAATGCTGTATATTCAATAAAAAGGAGTGCCAAGTTGGATGAACAGACTGTAGTATCTAGAAACGGAACTTTTATTTTTTATTTTTTTAAACAGATTGTCCGTTTACTATGATTAATTGCTAATAAGTTAAAAAAATAATAGAAAAATAATAGTGAAGGACATTCTTTTGGGCATGCTAGGGCCGATTTCGTCGATGCCCTTTAAGTTTATGTCAAGAGAATCATGCCAAAATCGACACCACTCTAAAATTAAATAGACTTCCTGTTACACAGTTCCGTTCTATTTCACGAAATGACACCCACAAACTACAAGAAAGTGAGAGAAAAGATGGTATACATTAAAAAACTTACATTTTCAAAATATAAATAAATACTGACTTGTTTATAAATTTTCAGTATCACCGGGGAAAATAAGACCAATGAACTTTATGAAACAAATGAATTGTCAAGACAAACTGCTGAAAATGATGCTGGGTTTACCAAAGAATCGACTTTATTTGCGTAATTTAGAAACAATATCAATGGAAATATCTCACAAATTTTATTTACGCTTCATTACTTATATTGTGAAAACTAATTTGCAAATTTGTTTACACTTGTACATATTATTACCAAATATAGTAACTGAAAATAAATTATTAAATTGTATTATTTTTGTATGTATGCTGGTGTAGAATATAGTACCTACCTACAACTTAACGCCATAGACATTGTCTATGCTTAATGCAATGGCTGTTTTGACGTTGGCGGCGCACCATGGGAAAATCGCGTATTATATATTTTATGTCAACTGCTAAGGGCGAGGTATAGTTTTGCACACATCTTACTATTAAAATTAGTCACCACCATCATCAGTCTATTAATGCCCCCACTGCTGGTGCACAGGCCTTCCCTATGGATTGAATAACGAGTTTAGGCTTGAGATTGATCCACCCCGCGGGCCCAGTGCGGTTTGGTGGGTACTAACGACGGCAGATGCAGCCGGGACCATTGGTTAGTAAATTTTTGGACATCCATCCATTGACCGATCGCTGCGAAAGTTGCCTATCTTCAACGATCGCCGAATGCACACAAACCGAAATAAGGCTAATGGAATGGATAATGGAATTATTGCTTTTATAAAAAAAAAGTTTTCGACAAAATAAATCGTTCACCTACCTACTAACAGTGGTTTGTGAACTCCAGTCACTTTAAAACTATGTACACCCATGCTTTAAAATCGCTATTAAAGATTCTGTAACAGTTAACTTATGGCCAACATTAAAACATCTAATGTATTAACTATATATTTTTTTTATAAATTTCATAATAAGCCTATGTACATATGACCGCTCGGAATCGCGTGCCGCCGCGCGGTTGAAGCATTTTTTACATACGGCGTATGTTCGGCTTCATGCCCCCTCTACACGTCGGCGGATGCGTACGCGGACGTCGCTAGATGCATCAGCAGATGGATCACGGCGAGCCGACCATACGTCTGACGACGTCTGAAGGTCATTATTCAGTCTGTCTGCATTCTTAGATTAAAACAAAAAGGGAAGATACGGCGCTCGCGGGTCAAAAGTGATCCGCTTAAATTGTGGTGCATGACCACGATTCGCTTTCACAACTGGACATTCAAACACACTGCATGTGCACTTAATATAATGCATAATATTCTGTGTTATATAGATAAAAGTCAAACAATATTATTTCTAAACTCCTTCAAACTATGACATATTTGTCCTTAATTTTTATTATAACAAATCACGGAAGGCCTAAAATAATAGATTTTATTATTCTGATCAGGCTTGAGACAAGGCTATATGATAATTAATCCTTTAATTTTTGCAAATGGACAAAATAAAATTTCACAGATTTCCTGTCAGGCCGACGATAACAAATTATTTGTATTTATTTTTGCTTTAAAAAAATATTTTGTGAAGAGTTAATCAGAGAAATGGGAAGAAAGATTCTAAAATGCTAAATTGGTGACTCGGTAAATAATTGGCAACATCTTTTATCAACTGTATGAGAACTCCTGCTATGTCGTTACATAGTAGGAGTTCTCATAATTTTCAAGATTGTAACATTATCCTAATTTCCTGAGCCTTTTTTCATAGAAATTATAAATATTAAGCCATTTACCATTAAATATTACTAAGTACAGTATTTATACATTGCCAGGGCAGTAGCTCATACAAAACTTTACCATGTCCTTTAGAGAACACCACAGGCCTGGGAGTATCCGTCTGCATATAGGTCGAAGGTCCAGCACTTTCGAAGGTTCATAGGTCAGCAAGAATCGTCGGTAGGTTCAAATGGTGGAGATGTCCCGGCTAAAAATCCTCCGACAGCCTCTGGGAAACAGGAGTCGCAACTCTTTGAGCGATACGGTAGACTTAGCACCTAGAACACAAAGGGCAGCATCTTAATAAATTGCACCTGGACTCTCGAGACGGTTCCAACGGCCAACGGTTAAAAATTTTGTAATAGGAATAGGACAGACTGCCGTTACAATTGTTCACTTATAATTTCTTCTATAGAAGAGAACATCATCACAACTGTCAGTAACGTTATACAGTATATGAACTCACTCACCCCAGTGGGAACTTCGTCAAATGTTTCGGATCGCGCGACCAATTGGCGCGAAAACGGCCGCACGGCGTCCTGGTTGAATGCGTGGCTAGGACTAAAAACTAAAACGTAGAGAAAAGGACCCAGCTTGAACGCGACAGCGAACGTTCAACTTTAAAGCGCCTACTGACATGCCTGCCGCAGGGACAATCTAGGGTGTAAGAGTGGGGATGACCCTTAATTGCCTCCTGAATTGTGATGTGTGTAGGCAAGTTGGGGCAATTTTCTAAATCGTGCCTGCGGCAGGGCGGCGGCAGGAGCGCGCGACCACCCTTGCTCACTAGATTGTCCCAACCGCCCTGCTCGTTGCCGCGTGTGTAGCGCGATTGGGCCAATTTCTCAATCAGTCGGTTAGTAGCTGTCACACGCAGCGCACGTATTTCGATCAAGATGACGGCAGATCATCATCATCAGAAGTTTGGACACGACACGAGTGATCTATTAGAAACCTCTACTTTGAGTATTAATTTAATAATTCTATTTCAATCATATAATCTGGAAAACTTGTTCATGGAGCCTACTAGAATAACGGCCACTTGTATTGACAATATTTTTACGGATATAATACCACATATAAAAAAAAAACGTTAATCAACTAGATAGTGATCATTGTGGTCAGTTGATTACTTTTCCACATCCAAATAAAAATGTAACAAGAAATGTATCACATTGTGCCAAAATCAGTTAATCTTAAACAGCGTTTTAAAATTCAATTAGATAGGAAGTTGAGTTATTTAAAGTATAAAGACAGTCCAAATGAATTGTATAATGATTTTTTTTTTATTTTTTGTGAAGAATTTAATGACTTCTTCGTTCCCAAAACCATATGTGTTAGTGATGCAGTAACTTTCAGTGAGTGGGCCATCCCAGGCATAAGTACATAACAGTAGAAGAAAACTTTATAAACTATATAATGAACGCAGCATTAATAATACTGAAAGTTCAGAGAGTATGTAAGTAATTATTCTAAGTTATTAAAAAGGTATGTCGCACAGCTAAATCAAATTATTTAAGTTGTAAGTGGTTGTAAGATTAAGAATAGTAATGACAAAATCAAAATGACATGGAACATTATAAACAATGAAACTGGAAAATCTAAAACTCGAAATACCAGTTTTGATTTAAACATTGAAAATAGAAATGTTACATCAGATATTGAAGTTACTACAGCATTTGAGAATTTTTTCACTGATATTCATTTCATTGTGATTAACGTGTGAAAACATTGCTTGTTTTGAGTGCTTTCTTTTAATATAATAACAACTTTGAACCGTGAAGTATAAATACTTAAAAAGATAGAAACAGTGCCGATGCAGTGGGGTATCTCAATATTTTTTAATAAATTTATTGAGCAGCGGAAGGCAGATTTGACACTGGATTTATGAATGATAGTTTGTTGCGAGAAGCTTATAATTACGTTGAATGTAATTCATAAATTGGACAAGAACATCTAGTTCTCTGTGGCGCAGTGTGGTAGTGCTTAGTATATTGTAATCACTGATTCGATCCTAGAATTTTTTTTATTTTAATTTTGGCTTTTTTTTATCATTTTATTTTTGACGTGACAACGTCTTAAATTAGGTTGCGGCTGGGAGTCACTTATGAAAAAGTGTAACGCTCGGTAACGTTACGATGAGTCTCTCGTGTTAAGTTTAAGTTTACATGTACAATGTTTTAGTAAACAAAATATATTTCTATAGTTAAAATTTGTGCAATTCTTATTTTCATTCAATTCCTTGTTCCTATTGTGCAATTTAATTATATTCATATCAATAAATATTCTACCGAGAAAAAGACGTTGTCACGTAAAATCTTCGCCCGTAAAACCGACTTTACAGGCAACCATTTTTCTCTATTCATTAAAGTTGAACTTTGTCAGTGGAACTTTTACTGATTCAGATTTTTTTTTAATATTTATCAAAACTTATATTGAAACATAAACAAATATGTCTTCGTCTTCGCATCAAACGCCTCATGTGAAGGATTTGGAATGGGGATGCTGTACGTTAGGATTAGGGCTTTCAAATACCGGATTTTTTCGATACCGGTATCAATACCGGTATTAGCATGTTCAATACCGTGATCACGGGATCACGGTATTGAATATGAACTTCAAATCAAAGAATATTAAAACGCCCGTTTTAATTCTAATCAGTGTTTATTTCTGTTACATAGGTACATGAAAAACAGGCTAACAAAATATTAAATATACATTGTTTTTTCTACCCTTCCCGGGTAGTCTTTTATTAATAAATAGTTCGGCGGAACTAAGAATTTGAGATCCACATTTTTTTATTAAACAAAAGATAAACTATTAAAATAAAGAAAAAAATACAACAAAAATGCTGTCCCAATAATTAAAATTCGCTTGGCAATCAACATTAAAAAAAATATAGGTAAATTACTTAACAATCATCTATTCATTTACTTTGTACCATTTATATTGTAAAGTTAATCGTGTGTATGGTGAGTTGAGTATGAGTAGGGAAACAAACAATCACAACAAATATTAATTTCATACTAATTTATTATAACGCAAGTACATATTTACATAGTAACTTAAAGTGGGTCATAATGCCTAAGTTCATTGACTCGCTAGACGCTACATTACTCTCCCCCTTGGAAAAAAATGGGTTGTCATTTTTACTATTGTAATGTAAAATATAATGTAAAAAAGATATAACAATAACATTTAAAAATTTATAACGGGAGTAAAAATAATAAAAGGATTATCTTATAATACAGATAACTAAAATAATTAAACAACAGCTACAAAAAACTACTAAAAATATTATTTATCAATGGTCCGTAATTATCTAGCACTTGGTTTGTTCTTCCACACTGCACTTGCGTTTAATAAAATAACACTATAATAAAGAAAGTTCACTTTAGGGCACAAACGCGGGGTTAATTTGTTGTGCCTGTCCGGGTCTCGTTGCCGCAGGCACCGTCGCCACCGATGTCATCGGGATGCTGGATGTGATCCTCGTCAGCTCGTTGGTTAAGGC